TTCATTTTATAGAATTGAATTTAAATTATATGCAATATGTTCATATTTCGCGAGTTATAACCTTGCAAACCTCAGCTTCAAGGAATTTAAAAGATTTTTGTAATTTCCCATATATATATATATATATATATATATATACAGTGAGTGTAATAAGTATTTTGCCTCAATAAACATGTGAAAAATTCTAATATATACGCCTAAAGCCAGCAAACTAAAGATTTAAAATGAATTATGTATGATGGGATATGTTTGTGGACATATTTAGATCTTATTTCTGCATGAATCACTGCGAAAGACCTATTGGTCACGAAGATATCGGCCAAAATCTATACCAACACAAAAATGATTATCACAAAAAAGTATTTTGCTTTTTTTTCATTTTTGAAAAAAATCATTATATAACACACGCTTTGTCTTTTTATAGTTACCATTGCGGGTAACCACATACTAAAAGCGATTTGGCGACGATTCCAATAAACCACGGCATTTTTTCGCGAATATTTTCTCACACTTACGTTCAATACATTCTCCAGCAATTTTTCATTTAATATATGGTAATTTCTCGTCCTAATCTCAAAATGAGAGTATTAGATATGGTCGTCGCGGCTTCAAAACATCCCAAATAACTTTAGAATAATAAAAAGGAGGTTTTGCAAAATAAATCGCGAGGACAGGACCTTAAAAACTATTAAAACTAAAATCCGACAAACAAATTATTAAAAAAAATATCGCGAAACCCAATTTTTCTGACTTTGAAATCCTTATGGTTCATTAATATTGATCTAGGAACCAATATATGCGATTAAAATAGCAATAAGGTGGTCAGAATCTTAATCGATTTTGACTAACATATGTTTTCGTCTATACAATTATGAGTGTCACTATCTGCTTAACACGTTGGGTGACGATCGAAAGCAAAGCGAAAAAGTGTTATTCTCAGCTCGGCTCCAGACATAGAAACAGTTCACAATGATTTTAAAAATAATGCCAAGTATGCACCGATTGCAACTATAATTAACGTTGGTTTATGTGGGGTATACAAGGAATAACGATTTCGAATCACATATATTTACTATACAATTGTTTTTGTGTTTTTATTGTAAAATGTTCTGTTTTGCTTGCAATGCACTGACATATGTCTAATGTTGATAAGAGATTACTAACCTTTGATTGATTATAAACGTGTATTTCGTTTGTTTTCGACAGGTATAAGAAGGGCCTGTGCAAGGTAGTTCAGTATGATTTCGCAAAATGAAGTCGTTCACAGCAGTTTCAGTCGTCTGCTTGGCCATCTGCACCTTGGCCAATCCAGTCACGAAACAAAAATTTGCCGATAAGGACTTCCTGGAGAAGCAAAAGTTTGTGTTGGAAGTCCTCCAGCATGTGTACCAAGACGATGTGTTTGTGACCAAATTCGATGAGACCTACACCACGTACAAGCCTTGGGAACATTTAGACGATTACAATAATGTCGATAAGCTGACGGAATTTTTTGAATTGTGGCAAAACAAGCCGCTGTGTGATGAAGTGGTGTTCTCTCCCGTCTATTCCACCCATGTTGAGTACGCATTGGGTCTGGGACGATTGTTTTATTTCGCCAAGAATTGGGAAGCCTTCACTCATGCTGTATACTGGGCTCGCGTTCATGTGAACAAACAACTATTTGTGTACGCCCTTAACCTGGCCACTGTTCTGCGCGACGACTTACACGGCGTCACTACTCCTGCCGTCTACGAGGTTCTTCCATGGCATTTCTTTGATGTGGAAACTGTGACAAAGGCTGAACATTATGCCCTCCACGGATTCCACAATGTCAAGCAGTTGGACAATGTTTTCAATGTTGTTGTCAAGTCTAACTACAGCAATGTGTACGACAACGTTAACTACGACCACACCTTGGCGTACTTCACGGAGGATGTTGGACTAAACGCTTTCTACTACTACTATAATCTGCATTATCCCTACTGGACCAAGGGCCCCGAAACTCATGAATTCAGCAAGGATCGTGTGGGTGAATTGTATTTGTTCTTGCACAGACAACTGTTGGCTCGTTACTATTTGGAACGTTTGTCCAATGATTTGGGAGAAGTGCCACATCTCAATTTGTACACCAAATACGGACCAGGATACTACAGCAACCTAGCCTACTACAAAGGAGTTAGCTTCCCCGATCGTGGTAACGACTACAATTTTTACAACAATGAGAATTTCGATCTTGTGAGAGATGTTGCGTTATATTCTGAACGCGTTGCTAAATTTGTGGACACTACCACCGATGAGTTCCACACTGCTGTCGAGAAGCTAGGAAACACCTTGCAAGGTAATGCTTACAGTCTGGACAAGAAGAACTATGGCAGTCTCGATAATCTTCTCCGTGATGTTGTGAACGAAGGACGTTACTATGGCAAATTCGGTGATGTGCTACCCGGTACCTTGTCTCAGTACGAAACCTCTTTGCGTGATCCCTTGTTCTATTCCTTATATAAGGAGCTCCTTAGTTATTATTGGCGTTTGGCTGGTAATTATCCAGAGTACAAGAAGGAGGATTTGGAATTCACCGGTGTGACCCTCGACAATGTCCACCTGCCCGAAAAATTAACAACCTTCTTTGAGTATTTCGATTCTGATGTAAGCAATGTTGTCAACGTTGAAACGACAAGAGTGAAAGGTTCCGATGACGCTCTCTTCAAATTCGGTCGCAATTCCGTCCACAATGGCCAAAGTTTCGTTGTTAAGGCCCGCCAGAAGCGCGTTAATCACCAGCCGTTCGAATTCACTTTGGATGTCACCTCGGACAAGGCACAGAAAGCAGTTGTCAAAGTATTCCTTGGACCCAAATACGATGAAAATGGTCGTCTGTTGAAATTGGAGGATAACTACCAAAACTTCTTTGAATTGGACCACTATGTTGTTGACTTGGTTGCTGGTGTGAACCATTTGAAACGCAGTTCGGAAGAATTTGCCTGCTCGACAAACGATCAAACCACATACTTTGAACTCTACAAGAAACTTTTTGATGCTACAAATTCTGATTATCAATTCCCTCTTACATCTGGCCAATGTGGTTATCCACGCCGCTTACTTTTACCCTTGGGTAAAAAGGGTGGTCTAACATTCCAATTGTTCTTTGCCGTGTATCCCTACCATGCTCCTGAAGTAGCTCTGTACTCCACATACGATCCCACTGTAAGCTGTGGCGTTGGTTCCGGCAGTCGCTATGTTGATGCTTTGCCTCTTGGTTATCCTTTGGATCGTCCTGTCGGCCACGATTATTACTTCAAGGTTGGCAATTTCAAATTTTACGATGTCACCGTTTACCACAAGGAAGATACCACCAATGTTGTTTAATTCGATTTGAACTTGTAACATCTTGATTGGTTTTTATTTTGTTATTGTATGCAATAAATTGGTGTTTTCATTTTTAACTTTTTTAAATTTAATCCAAAAGTGTGATTTATTTCCAAATATTGGTTAATGTTTTGTATGAGTATATGTCGTTTGTGTTGATGTTTGAGCGATTAGACAAGGGTAGCATGTTTTGTATTTTTGCTGATCTCGTACCGAATAATACCAATTTTCATGTAGAGTAATAGATTATTTTTTGATTATGATGGAAAGGAAGAAACTGTTTTCTTCTTTCGGTTGCCTGTTTCAGGTATAGATTTCACATGAATTAACCTTGACAACCAACCGTGCCGAGTGACGGCAACATAAAGACCGGTTGACAGGAGACATCAACGCCAGGTGAGCTTGATTCATTTTCCTGTGCCACGACTGAGGGTAAACACAACATATGTTTCACTCTGAGAGGCATTCCCACTGAATTACTGGAGGTAAGTTAAGAAAAAAAGAGAGTGTCTGAAGGAGTTTGGAAAAATGCACACGACTGTCTTCCATTGTATTCAATGCATGCATCATATGTGTATTGTAATAGGTACAGTTTGTGTAAAATATAATTTTGAAAATACTGCTGTCAAATGAATTTATAAATAAAATTTTACAATAATGTAAATCCCATTTAAAGGTTTCTGAAGATCACAATTAAATTTTAAGTCCGTGTTAAAAAAGTGGATATCCGTGTGCTTAAGTGGATATTTGAAGCCAATATAATATAAGATGTCAATTTTAGTCATCAGCCTTTTATTTATATGAAATATTTTCCTGCTTTTGTAAAAAATATTTAAGATTGTTTTCATTGATATTTGAGTTGTGATATGACATAACACATGCGTCGATATACATTTTAAAACGATCCAAGTGTTCCTCATAGAAGTAAGGCCAAGTGACAATGCACTAAATTCGTTTCTTCAAATTCAAATCTGAAGTCATTTAGAAATAATTGAGACTATCGGTCACAATCTATTGGTACTTCCCAAAAATAGTTAACATTTTTATAACGTAATCGACCATTTAAACCGTGTTTGTTATTTGTTGTTAGTTGGAGTGTATATTAAATTTGTCGTTTCGTTTGCCTCACTTAGAAATATTCGTCGGATGTCGATGTCGATTAACAATATTATTATGAAATATTGCACATTTATTGCTATTGTTGCTGATGAAATATGTAGTATTCAAAATGGGATGTACACATGTCAGACAATTATAATAAAGTGCAGGCCATTATTGAATCAAAATTCCCTTCTGCACTATACATTCGTTGTTCCTCTTCTTCAATGAAAATGTTCAATATAGGTGCATGTTTTAAGGCAGCTTCCCCTTAATATGAATGTCCAGATCTATTTTCTATAGATGTTTGCCTATGCCTCCGTTATGAGTGTAATCTTAGGGGAAACACAGCCCTTAGAAACAATTTACAATGTCATTGCCCCCATATATAGGTCCCGACCACTTATAGTTGTTATTTTATAGGGCGTATTTCAAATGATCCTACTGATCGGATTAAATTATTTAAGAGTAATCTAATAAACAAATTTTTATTTTCACAGATATGTGTAGTTAGATATTTGACTTCAGCCTTCAGACTTCAGGCCATTACTTACCCTCCGATATGCCTTGTCAATGTCATCGAATTTTTTAGCTTCTTCCGGCAGCTGAGAACGTATATCTCCACCAATGAAAATGCCCTCCAAGTACAGCCATTTACGTTGCACCACTAGCCACTCATCGATGATTTCCGATATTAGAGCTAAATTACGTTCCCACCGATTGACCGTCTCAAGGAATGGTCCAATGAATCTGTAATCGCAGACAAATAAAAACACATAATGCGATCCTAGCTATAGAAGTAGAAAAGCAAAAGGGACGATGAAAATTGTCATATGGCCAAGCATGTTGCTCGTTGAACATCAACTCAGCAGCCATTGTCCCATATTTGTCCGTGCCAAACTGTCGTTTTGTTGCAAACACATTTGTGTTGTTGTTGTTCCATTTTTACTTACTGCGAGGCACCCATTGATTGAAGGTTCATTGAATTATCTTCGAGCACCTGAACGATTTCATCCACTGCTCCCAGTGTATAGCCACGTTCTTCGGATCCTTTGTAATGTTTGTGCACTTTAAAGCTCATGGCGGCCCAAGTATCCTCAACAGCTTTAACGCCTTTTTCAATGGCCAATTCTTTGATGGCATTATTTAGGATTTGTTCGGCAATTTCCTATTGAAATGAAATGATAAGGTATGGAAAGGTAAGGTTAGCGAAGTAGCGCAACAAGAGTGTTGCAGCTTGTTACTGCATCTGTATTTGGTATTTGTGTATAAATGTGTAGATGGGCGTTTGCCTGCAATTGCTTTAGAATAGTTTGGGTGTATTCGAATTGTGTTAAAGTAGTGTAAAGTTAGTGGAAAAAAGACATGAAATTAACATTAAATATATGTTATTTAAACATTTTAAAATCATAATACGTATACATACTAACATTATAAAAATTACTTTTTGTTATTAAATGGAGCATTAAAATTTTAATATAAATTAATTAAATGTTTCAAACAAATCTTAATTGGTTTGATTTTCCTTCAAAATTATATACAAGATATAAAAAGTAATATTTGCAATAATTATTTTATTCTGTAAATTTTATTAATTTTAATGCAGAAAGGAGGCAATAAATGTCTCTTTAAAAATACATTACAATTATCTATGATAATTCTCTCAAAAGACAGTTTTTACGCTAAGCCTGGCAACCTTTACAAAAAATACCAGCTGTACTGCCATCTTCATCAAAGGAAAGGAGAAACAGCATAAATATTGACCCATTTCTAACTGAATATAAAATCGAGTACGTTTTTATAACGAACTTGCTATATATACTTAATATTTAACGATATATACTTAATGTTTAACGATGACAATCCTCCAATTTTATGCTGTTTTTCATGATTGATCTCCCCCACATATTCATTAGTATAGCACTTTTATTAAATACATTTATTTGTTTAATGCTTAATACAAATTAATATATTTAGGCCTCCTCTTGTATATAACGAACTTCCTCTATAACGAACTAATTTGCATGGTTCCTACACGTTCGCTATAACCGTACTTGACTGTATTATTTTTTTCTATAGCGATTTCCTTCTATAACCTACACTTCACTGTATTTTACGTTTGAAATGAAAAAAAAAACAATTTCTTGCCAAACTTTATGAAAGCATTACTATTAAGATTTGGTTATATAATCATTTACCTGATATTTATGCAATTGCATTGCAAACATATTTTCAAGAGTGAAACGTTCTGGAGTCATATCGAAGTATTGACCCGTTTTTTCCATCAGTTGTAACCAATGGCGTTCTCGCAATGCTTCATTTTTTAAGCTCACCATAAGCGGAACTGTTCCCTTGAATTGCTTCATTTGCAATTCCAGCATTTGACCAACTGGCAATTGACGCACCTGTAAGCAAACGGTTGTAGAGCATGGGTAAGCCACCGGCAGATATACATTTTGATAAACAATTAGGAAGGAACAAAGTTTACAGCTCATCGCTGATGTATGGAAATTCCCAATAGATTTATTTATTTATTTCAGTCTATGGAAGTATAAATCCTTACAGACTAGATTATTATGAGATATTGGGTATATTCGGATTTTGGGTATATTCGGATTTCTGATACATATTCGTTGTTGTAGTTTTTGTTGTATGCATTACGACAATCAACAATAATTGTGTGATCGGCTGAATGACCCATGCCGCATTTTATTTAATTTGTTAAAGCTGGTTGCAATAAATTACGACTATAAATTTAGCATCGTAATACGCTTTTCATATAACAAGTTTTGTGCATTGACCAATATTCTATTTTGGGCAAATTGTTTAGCTACGCCAGCACGTAATAACTGTTATTACGACGGGAAACCGCGATGTGATTTGTTCAAAACTGATCAAATGATTATTTTTGTTTTCATTTGGACGTAGTTTTGTAAAATATATAAAACAGTTACATTCCAAGTCGAAATAATAGTCAATAGATGTTTAGGAGACAACCCTGATTTTACATTGGCCTAGCCAACCGTATTTTAATCGATAAAATTGTTTTTCGGGGTACACCTATTACTTTTGATGCCAGAGAATTTTTTATTTTGTTCTTTAATTTGAAATTCCCATTTTTGTTGTTGTTTATAAATATAATATAATATTCCAAATAGAGAAATGTGTTTTTCGTTTGACTTGTATTGGGTTTTATGTAAAGGGTTTGGTACCCATTCAAATTAAAATCTAGAAAGTATATTTTTTTCAAATATTTGCTATAAACTTTCATAATTTTTCGATTAAGAAACTTATTACGTAAGTTTAATTGGCACAGAGAAAAGGGTATTAGTTTGGGATTTGAAGTATTTTATTTTGGTTTTGGTAAATAGTTTTATCGAGATAAATTTTAACCGCTTATTATCAGTGAAATGGTATAAAAATAATATTTTGAAAGCATTGCTACTTTTTTCCTTATTAGAATCCAGATAAAGACTAAAGAAGGACTTAGAAATCAATTGAATTTATATGAGTTATGTGTTCTTTATCAACGCCTTGATCACTTCGACTTGGTCTAGGTTTCATAAAAAAATTATATAAAGGTCGGAAGGGTCATCGTGCGGACAACTCCAAAAATAAAACAGAGATGAATGCTGAATATTTTGATATAACATAATACTAAGGTTGAGAATCATGGGTCCAACTGATTTACTAGTATTTTTTAAAAGTACCCGACTGAGATAATTGTTAACCAAAGTCAGCAATATTTTTATAAATAGTATCATTGGATCTATAACCGTAACCTCAACAATAACCCAATGTTATCAAACAATTCTTAGAATTTCCATCACACCAAATGTAATGAAACTATTTCATATTCGAATGCCATTAACTTACCTGTTTGGGAAGTTTACGAAATTCTTTTAAATAACTTTCCACACCCTCTGTCAGCACAGTAGGATCCAAATCGGCCCACAATGTCTTCGACCATCCCTCTCGTGCTGACTTTTGGCTTTTATACAATTTGTAAATCTGCAAAGAAAAACAAACAAGAGCAAAAAAAGCAAAGAACGATAGCCAATCATCTCTTGTCAGTTTTATGTTTCATATTGAGAGGAAGTTTTCACAGAACCCCAGCAGAAACACAAATAAATTAATTGAAAAATTAAAGTTGATCTGTGTCTTTTAAGCTGCTTGGTAGGGAGATGCCCTCTCATGGCCACCATCAAACTGGGCCCCATCAAAAATAGTTATTTTGTGTTGGGTGTTAAAAATTGAAAGAGGCGTCATTAACTTACAATTTGCATTCCTTCGTAGTCCTCCTTGAGATGAGTAAACTCATTGTAGTCTTGCATTGGCATATCGAAGAGTTTCTCAGCATTGGCTGTAAAGGTTGGTGTGTTGTAAGGTCGTGTCAAATTGAAAGGGGATGTGTCATTGCATTATTTGTTCGGGAGGGAAATATTAACAAATAAGTGAATTTGTTAAATTCATATTTTTTTAATTTTTGACAATCACAAAGGGAACTTACCCAGTTCAATTCTGCGACTTTCAAATTCGTTCATTTTATTGCCATATGGTTCCATCAATTTAAAGCCACGGTCCAAATCGGGTCCAACAGATCCGGGTCCGTTGTTCTTAAAATCGCTTATAAATATTTCTAGCTGTGTATTGAAGAAGAAAATTGTTTACATAAATGCATGTGCAAAGATGTAGTGTAAGCAAGATATGCGTTCCGCACATCTCGGCGACAGCGTGGTATGGTCTCTATGTACACAAACAAATTAAAAGCAGCAGATGTGTTTGCCGATCGTAATGCATATAATAAACACTTTAGGTTAATTCGTTTTTCCTGCTATCATAAGTTGCGGTTGAATGCCGTTTCACTTATCTAATGAAACAGTTCAGTGGGGTTATGTATCGCGATGGAATAAGAACCACAGCCCAGTGAATTTAGCGCCACCCACCCATTTTGTATCAAACAGCCGCCACAAGCATTATTTGTGTACAGTGAATGACGGATATGGATGTGGCGCTTATTGAGTTGCGAGCAGAGGAAATGGAAATCAGTCAAAAGGTAGTTGCATGCACGGCATACCAATACTTTTCCACAGCCTGGAGAAGAATTAAAACTAGGCGATGATGCATCAACAGTGGAAAGGAAACGAAATGGAGGAACAAAAAATAATATTCTATTGATTCAGTCTTTTTCAATTGTTAGTGCAATAAGTGGCCAAGGGATGGAAAATCTTATTATGAATGGTGATATTGTTTATGGTGGAATCTGACGAGGTGTTACTTAACAGTCACAATGATATACGTTTTTTTGTATAACTAGTATCGAATATTTTTAATGAATATGTCGTGTAATATAGCCAACTTTATATTACACGACACGGTGTTATTAACCGTTGTTTATGTACGACCCTCCACCTTAAATCATTTCCTCGCATTATACGCAACCTCCGTTCAGAGGAGACCGAACGAATGACTCACTGTGAAAAACAAAATCCAATTAAATTCCCATTGAACTGCTATGAAAACAGATAGGGGCAAGAAATGAACGAAGAATAGAAACGGAAACAAAGGCGAAACGAATTAAAAACGTAAGCAACTACATTTTAAAGTGACTACAGAAATATGAACATAGACAAAATACAGCAACTAAAAATTCCAGAATAAGGGAAGAAGTTGAACATGTTAAGCAAATGTTAAATGTGGCAAAATCTACAGCGAACCCCAAACCAACGTCCATACAAATCATGCGATTCTAATTAAAAACTCAGCTCCTTCATCAATGGAACACGTAAAGTGTGCTACCACCCAAAAGGGTTCAGAAATGTTCATTTGTTGTAAAAAAAAAATGTTTGGAATTTCTTAATTTTCTCTCGAGTTAACAATAAATTGTTGGAAAGCTATTTGTTTGTTCGACGATTACTTACCTCCTTCCAAAAGCTGGATATTTCGAGGGACGTCATATCGGCGAATTTTTGTTTAATCGGCTGCACTTTGTCCAGCCGATATAGAGCTGAACGATAGAGGCGTTGCCAACGTTTTCCCAAATGATGAGCCATTAGCATGTCTTCGAAATTAAACTGCGAAATAAGAATTAATCAGTGGGGCGGTGAAATTGGTTGTAAAAAATAACATTTCAATTTTGAATAATTACAAAATACAAATGAAGAAAAAGGTATTTCAAGAAATAAGAAAAAGCGAAACTTTTGTTATTAAATAATCAAATGTAACAAAGGTAACTCGATACTAAAAGTTTCACGTTAACGTTAAAATGTTTAAATATTATTTGAGACAATTTTTATATATTCAGAAAGGAAAGTGAATTAACTTTAATAGAAATCTTCTCAAGAAATTAAAATTTCGAAACTAAAAAGCAGTAAGGAAAGTAATAAAGTCGGACGGGGCCGGCTATATAATATCCTTCACCACTTTGGGTATATTCTACATATCGTCACCTAAAATGCAAAAAGACGTAACTAACAAAAAATTGAAAATTGACTTTTTGAATGAATATTGTGAATGTCAATAAACTACATGTGTTGACAAAGTTTTACACGTCTGCGGTCAAAAAAGGAGCTTCTATTAACAAAAAACAAAAAGACGTAACTACAAATGGGTTTATTTTGATAAATGCAAAAAGGCGTAACTAACAAAAAATTCACGTTTTTACTTAATTGTTATGACTGTCATTAAACTAAATAACTAAATTTGTTAAAAAAATATAGTCTATTATTCGTCATATGCAATATCATCCTGTCGGGCATACTTTTTCATTTTACATGACATGTTTATAGTATTCATTCAAAACAGTTTTTTGCTTCTCCTACACAATTATGCTTTTGCTAGTTACGCCTTTTTGCATTTTAGCTAACGATATGTATCCTAACAGACGTCGGGTTTTTGTTATATATCAATATCTGAACCGAATTCGGGGAAACTTGCCAGCGACTTATGTGTATTACTTCAGTACGTTGTGTCAATTGGTCTAGCTATGGACCTTTTCACGAAGCTTAGCAACATCATTCTAGACTTGATTCAGTACGCTATGCCAAAATTCGTGGAAATGAAAAAAAATCCAGGGTCTTTGGTGCACCATTTACCTAAAATCGGGCGAAACTATATATTTGAGCTATATCTAAATCTGAACCGATTTTTTCCAATTTCAATAGGGTTCGTCCTTGGGCCGAATAAGTGACCTGTGCCAAATTTCATCCAATTCCGATCATAAATGCGACCTGTACTTCGTTTTGCAATTTAACATGGACAGACAGACAGACAGACGGACGGACATGCATAAATCGACTTAGAAAGCGATTCTATGCATATTCCCAAAAGGAACCATGGGTCTATCTCGATTATTTTTGCCTGTTACAAACATATGCACAAAGCCTAATACATGTACCACAGTGTGGTGAAGGGTATAAAAATTAGATGGTAGTCGTATATAGCCCATGAATGAATACACTCATCATATAATTAATTTACTATAATTAGGTATTAACACGTGGTCAACATAATAAATACATATTACAACAATAACAACAGAAATTTATGGATAAGGGAATTATCTCAATTTTTGCTGGAGAAAGCTAAATCAACTGTACAGAATAAACAGGTTAGCTCTAAAATTTTTGTTATTATTACGGTTATGATTACTATGTTTTGGTCTTATTTCGATTCTTATCGATAATTTTTAAAAAGATTTTATTACAATAACATGTGTCTGGTTTTCAATTTTGGCTTACACCGTTAAAAAAGCTAATTACCAGTGATTACGAGGACAGTTCGGAATCTTCTTAGCCTAGTAAAAAAAGTGCGGTATAAAGTGAAAAAAGTTACGTGTTTTGGAGACATCCATCTCTGTTATGAATATATGTTAAATTTTCTTTCGATCTGGCAACTCCTTCATGTATAAACAGGTGTTGATGAGACATGGATCCACCAGTATACTGTCCTCTTGCGGACCATAGACAAAAGAACAATCCATGTAATGGACTGAAGCTGGAGGAAATGCCCAAAGAAGGCAAAAGTAATCCAATTGACTGGTAAGGTTGTGGCAACGGTTTTTTGGGATTTCAAAGACATTTTATTGATTGACTATCGGCAAAGGGGTAAAACAATAAATTTAGAGCACTAGTGCAACATTTTGGACCAATCGAATTTGTACATTTAACTCGAGAAAAACGTCCTGGCTTACAACACAAACAAATAATTTTTCATCAAGACAACGCACCAGCGCACAAGAGTGTTTTCACAATCGTTTTTGATGTTTTTCTTTTTTATAGATCAGATTGTTTATACAAATGTGTTGGTAGAAGAAAATATACCTCTTGGCTGAAGAAAATATACCTCTTGATGGGGTGTCTCAGCATGACAATAACTTCAAACATACATCGAAACATGTCAAAGATTGGTTGTGGGAGTCAAAAATCAGGGTTACATCTTTGTAGTATCATAGATAACCAAATCTATGAGAGAGATTCACAAAGATTTTTTACTATAACTTTATTTTTAAAAATTGTGCATAAATTAATTTAGAGTACAAATTATTTTAAAGTAATTTAAAATTTTATTCTGTTTTGAACGAAAACTATTCATATTATTTTGTCCATGTTTGTATATTTTTTAATACAACGGTAAGAGGACAGTTTCAATAAAAACGAATGACAGACAGAATCGTTGATTTTTCCGATGTAATTTATTGCAATTTGTTATATATGGCCCTTATGTTGGAGGAAATCTCCTTATTGATTTGCGGTATTAAGGGCAGAGAATCTTCCTACCAAAAATTGTAAAAATCGATTCATGTTTAGCTGCCATAAAGCGATATCGCGTGATATATTTTTAGAGTTGTAATCAAATTTTACAATTGAATTTAATGTAATTTCGTATGTAGAAGACCTTCACGATACAAATTTTCTACGTCAGAAAAGAGTACCGAGGTTTTTAGACTTGTGTCTACCAGCCGCAATCAGGTAAACTTTTATGAATTGTTGTCTCGCTACATCTTTACGTACAAAATCACGATTTAGAAGGGTATACCTACATGTCCAATTGGAATCAGCTACATTTTGATATTTCTGTTTCCAGTTGGTAAAAAAGTTTCTTTGCAAAAGTATTATATTTGGTTAACCCCTATATAACGATATCGGAAGTTTTAGGTATATAATACAATATAGTGTGGTATTTGTAGTTCCGTGTTGGAAACTACGGGTCAACTTCTTACCGATTTGCGATTCAGTTTATGAATGTTACGATTGAGGATATAAAATAAAAATCGAAACTGGAGCTGCTGGCTATACCAATAAGAAGGTTTAAGAAATGTTTCGCTTTAATGGGGATAATAAACAAACGGTTAATTGTTTGATCAGTCCTGTAGGAAACTGTGGTTCAAAATAAATGTAACTTTTTTTAATGCTACCAACACAACTGAACCTCCCGATCTTAGGCACATGTTTTCACCAAATTGACTGTGTATAGAAAAGAAATAGATTTTCATTCATTTAAATTTAGATCAGTGCCAGATTGTAACCTGTGCCGATTTAGAATAAAATGTTTCACTTTAATTTTGAAACGCAAAATCAAGTGTTTAACTATTTACAACGTTTGAATAGTTGTTGCCTGTGAATGTACTTATGTGCACATATCAATTAAATAGATGCCTCTTTAGGCGTAATTTGATTGAATTTGGAAATACGTTTTTCTGCAGCATGACCATCAAAAAGCCAGACAAAGCCAGTTAATGCCCCATTGATGATTTAAACCGAAAATGAGTGAAATGCAGAAAACTGTCGACGTTTTGACAATTTAATACTTTAAATCACAAATGGCAAAAGCCTTTATTCAAATGCGCATCAATTAATGGACGGACCGTGTGGTCGGACAGTCGGTAACTGCTTTTTATATCTGCTATCAGTGCTGGTGTTGTTGTTGTCGCTGTTGCATATCCTCTTTAGCCTTTTTTGATAGGGAATTTAAATACGAATACAAGTACATACATTTGTATTCGCAAACACATGCAAGATCCTAGAGAGCAGTAGTAATGGTATGGTAGCCATATATGTTATTGGCAGAGTCGGAAGGGCGGAGAGATTGGCAAGTATGGAAAAGGGATTCATTGTCATTTGTTTGAGAATAAAATGGTAGTTCCATATTAGAACACCCTACATTATTTGCAGTTGTCCATCAGATGTGAGCGTATCAAATGGAATTTCGAAACGACGTAGCTTCTTTTAATATTGCATCTTTACTCGTATTTCTCAACGTTTAGGGCACTCGAATATCTTAACTGCATGCTGATCCGTTCCCCTTTACCAGCAATTCCGTATCTGTATCTATGAACGAGGCACTACATGTTGCATATAGCCAAGCTCCCATATGTATATGAATATATATTCATTCGTACATTGACTGCCCATGGGGGGTGGAAAATGAATCGAGTTGTCCATGCAATGCTTGTAAATACAGCCACAAAATTGACTTTGCAGAGATTTTCTAAAAATCCTCATTTGAATTTACAGAAAAAATATTCCTAATAACAGGGAGCAATGGTTTCAGATTTTAAGTGACCATGACAAACTTTCTACAGAGGATTCATTTTTGAAAACTCTATGGCTGCAGTTGATTCCACTTTGTCTGTGGATACAGATGTCTGTATAAAGCCACATACTTATGAACATTCATAAATGGTAGGGGATGGGTTGGAATGGGGGTGGAAGTATGGATGGTAGAGCAATTCCCAAAAGTGAAAACATCACAACGGGAGCAGAAAACAGAGGGATGGCAAGTGGAAGGAACTCAGCAAATACTAAATAATGTCACATGAATGTTAAGTTAAATAAAAAATGCAAATGTATTTTCAACCAAAAATGGCCATCAATGACCGAGGTCGGATCAGTTGCAGATGCTGTTTCCACAATTGCAAAAATGGCATTTTTAAAATTTAAACTGTATTTCAACATATTTCTGCGTATTAAATTAAATAATACATACATACAAACACACACTATTTTTTGCATTTTATTTAAAATGGAGAAAATATTTGCTTCAACTGTTGAAAAAAATGCAGAGTTCGTTAAGAAAGTTAGTTAAGTTTGAAAATTAATCTTTTTCAATTTTACACAATTCGCCTCGATTGTTTCTACTATCGATAAAAACAGTTCTTATATTCGAATTTCTATTGTATATGGATAGTTTTAAATAAGTTGTAGCATTGTACAATATATAATCCTTTACGATTGCTAGCAATCACATATTTTTACATACATTACATAATACCTTTCAATTAACAACCTCTGGATAGAACTTTTGTAATTCCATTGGCAAGAGCTTAAAAAATCCAGCATAGCAAAAAATAGAACGACACAAAATGTCTTTGACGATATTCGAAATGATGAGCTTAAGCAATTGCCAGACAAATTTCCAATGAAATTGAAATGAAACCTTAAAGTAAGAACTGAACAGAAATTTCATTCGAGTTGAATTGGAACCAATAAGAGGAAATCCAAACTGTTTCGTCGAAGAGAATGTTCATGGAAATCCATGCGTACGGTGGTGGCATGCTATGGTCCAATAATTTCCAAATAGTTGTATATGATGATGAAACTATGATTTGATGTTATCCCATCGTAATACATACACATGTACATACATACATACATACGTACTAAGATCCCATAAATGTTTGCTTCTTTAACAATAGCGTTTCCATTCCTTAGTTAGTTTTGATTTTGATGAATAGTGCGCTGTTGTAGTTGTTGTACTTACATTTATATTGTGTTCACTCAGCACGGTGTAGGTCTCCTGCATTTCCCGGATTATGATTTCGTGAGTCAACGTCGTCGATTGAATTGTTGAAATAGTTTGCATAACCAATTTGAAGTCGCTGAGTTCTTTTGTGGCCCTATTCAAATTTTCACTGAGTGTCTGTAACGGAAATTGGAAAGTTTCGCATTGGAATGGCATTAGAATGGCATTTGCTGTTACGGATTTTACATAAAAGGCAGAGTTTCGTAATTTGGCGAAAAAAAGTTACATTTGAAGTTTACTTTTTTCCCAGATGGCAAACAGGCAAGGAGGAGGACGAGGTAAGGAAAATCACAAGTTAACGAGTTAGCTGTTTGACATTCAAATGCAACGAACAGGTAGGTAGTCTTATAAGGCATTCTTCGCCAACTGAAGCTGCATACAATTTACAAGTGGTAGCTGTGTATTTCTATTCCTCAATCTAATTGTGCTGCATATTTATTTTGTAAATTGCTGGGGTGACACCAACAATAATTATTTTTTTTTAAATCGGGTATTTTATTAACAATAAGTATTTAAATAAAAGCCAAAATCATTGATTTGATTTCGTTTTACGGATGTTCATTCTAAGGGAAGCAGGGGTCCAATCTATCCTACACGAAATTTTACTACTTTTCTTTTTTTTTGTTGAACAATTTTGTGTTACTCATCTCATTTGAATGTTTATCGAGAAAAAAAAACAACTACATTCCGTCCATACTGAATGTATTTGCAATTTTCTTCAAGTACTTTGGAAAAGGAATTGAGTTCATAATTCTGGTATTACATATGTAATGACCTGAACAACTGTTATCGCCCCAATCTCCCCCACTCATTCATATTCAATATTCACCCTGTTTAAACAGAAAAATATGAATATATTCCGGTCGTTCTCCTGCTTTATCATGGCTCTGCCATTCATTTTACCGCCAATGCAAAAATTAGAAACGACAAAAAGGGTAAGCTTGCACAGAATCTTACAAATGAGAAACTTCTTGGGAGTGACTCGGCCTTTTCTCACACTCTCCCCAGTGCCCGGCTAGCAACTTATTTTGTTATACTTACTTTAATTTCCAATCGCATTTTATCCATATTGGCAACAGTGCGCTGTGCCAGCTTTTCGCCCAATTTGGTGCACCATTGTTGGGCGTGATGGCAAATGGTGTCCAGCAGTGGCTTCAAATTTATGCGTATACATTGGACATCGTAGTATGTTGGCAACTGCTGCAATTCGTTCCTGATATTTGCATAAAATGTAAATTTCTCGTCAAGCTGCACAAGTGGCACACCACGATCCACATATTTTTCACAAATTGTTTCCTTATCAAATGCCCACAGATTGTAGTATTTGCGAAATCTGTGAGAGAATAGGGACAACACAATACAAAAAAAAAAAAAAGTACGAAAGAATGAGAACGACAAGTAAAAGGAGTAGAATAAATATGAATTGGAAATGGGTACAACAAAATTATACCAAAAAGGACTTAGTTCTTGTCGTTGTCCTTGTAGTTCTTTCATAATATGTAATGTTTACGTTGAAATGGCACAAATGGACGAGAAAGTCAAATATGGACAAAAACTGACGATGCTAGTCGACTTCGTTGCTCAAACTATGCACAACTATTTTATTTTGAATTGAAATTAAATTTTTTTTTCATATTTAACATCTCTTAATTTTATTTGATGCCACTACTAGGCTTTAGAAATATTTTAATTTCTGTAAAAAATATTACATTTCTGTAAAAATACTGTTCACCCTACCAACATGGCGATGATTCAGATGCACTGGAAAAACAAATAAACCAAATATGAAATGTTTAGATTATGTGTTGAAAAGTCACATTTATCTGACATTTGCATGGTCCTTTTGCCAAGTTGTGTCATCTTTTGCAAAATATCGTTAGTTTGGTTTTCTTATGATTGGACCAACACGTTTACCTATTTTCAAGTATTTATATATATGTAGATGTCTATAGATGATGGTACCCTGTGTTGGGATTTCCCGTGATGTTCCCCCCATAACCTTCGTATGCAACTGTTTTATTTTCCTTGCATCTCAATTTGCGTGAGTGTTTGTTGCCTATGACGCTTCAGAGCCTCCATCCATACATGTGTAGATGTAGAGAACACAAGACTATGACTACTACGGGTATGTTTTCGCATGTTATGGGAATTTAACAATGTTGTACGACGGTTGGCCTGAACTTGCTGTTGGCTTGTTGTTGCCTAATGCATGACTGTTGTTGGCTGGTTGTGTTGCAATGGTTTTATCATATGGTAAACACCACTTAAACGCAGTCAAGCGAAAATACGAGAAATAGACAAAGCCCCCCAACGAACAGAGCTTAAGACGACCGTAAACAAGGAAAAAAACTCAAAAATGGAGGAGACTATATAAACTTAGTACATTTCAAAAAAATCCTCAAAGGATTTATAATAGAATAACAGTAAAATAATGAATCATTATAGAAAATGTAGGGTATCATACAATATCTTACCCTGCACGAAGTGATGGGAAGGGGTTTATGAAATATATTGTAAAGTATTAAACCATAATTAAATAAAGGATTATAGTTTCTAACTGAACTATTGATGATTTTCAGTCTTATGGTCACAAGAATGGGAATCTATAATTTTATGCATTTAACAGACCCTAAAGGAAGCCACATTATGAACAATTTGTCTACAATTATGCCACCAATAAGTAAAGCAATATCAATATAATTTGAACAGACTTTAATCAAACGTGTCATAAGATCTTCTGTACTGAATATGATTCGTTATGAAGTCGTAGAATTTCCATTGCACGAGTATCAGTCAGACTCAATTGAAATTGAGTGCATAATAACAACAGATCAACATTTTGTAAAAAATCGGGATATATTTCCGGGCGATTAAAAAAATTTAACGAATATAAAAAAAACTTACTTTTGAACACAGTTCTTGGCATCTTCAACCACACGATTAGCGAGTTCTTGAATTTTCACAACTAAACCTCCAATTGTTTTTATCTGTGAATTGCAATAATTATTGATCGAAATGTTCATCGCTTCGGCGATGTTTTAACATACCTTTACGACATCTTCGTAGAATGTGAACGTGTACTTCCCATCGCCATCATTATCAATAGGTGAACAGGGTATACATGTCCCATCCATCCAGCGTGTGAACATTTTTAAGCTGAGAAATGTCAAATCAAATAATACATATCTATAAGAATTAATGAGTAGCTTACCGTTCCAAGAAATCTTTACAGGATTGGACAATCATATTCTTAACTTCATTTGCGGATGGTTCGAGCATGATCTCCGATAGAACTATTATCGCATTGATTTCAAACATGGGCTGGTTTCCAAGTAGACGGTCCAAATAACACTCTAAATTTTTATAAGTGAAGCTATTGGAAAACAAAAAACATTTATCTGTTACTTAGAAAATGTGGAAAATGTAGCAAATGCGGTCGTATTGGCTTAAATGGTTTAATGGTTTATTTCTGGGTTGTTACTCACTCTAAAATACATTTATAGGTTTCCTCTTCCCAGAATACGTAGTATTCTCTCATTTTCTCCGATCGACCGGTGAAGGTGCCCAATACCAAACTTTCTAATTTAATTAGAACCGGCCCCAATGAATCGTACGTTTTCTTCATCTGTGAACATTTTTCAGTCCGTGCACTTTCCAGGTGATCCATATAGACTTGACAATGATAAATACCACTGCCGCAATCCTTCCTGTCTGTAGTCAGTGCATCTGTCGAATCACGCATGCGAATAATTTGTATTCTTTTTCCTTTATCTCCATCCATTTCTTGATCTTCGCTAGTTTCTGTGGAATGTTGAAGTTCCGATTTATTGTCAACTTCAATGTTAGCAATATCGGCGCTTTGGACATCATCAATGCTAAACAGATTAAAGTTCTTTATTTGATTTATTCGATTTCTTATGTCGATGCGTATATAATTGATTTGTGAAACAATGGATTGTAATTTTCGCATAAGGCCGCAAACTCCATCACAGTATTTCTTGATATTGAACGATTGCCATGTGTAGCGGCCAACGCCAACATGAATGGCAACTTCGGTTTCATAAAGGTGATCACGCAAGAAATTAACCTGGGATGTATAACTTGTATTACATTTTTTTCCAGCAGCAGTAAAAAAAGAAAGTAAAAATCACATCACCTACCTCTGATAGTGAAAGTTTGTCTAGCAAAGAGTTGTATCGGTCTATGACAGTAGACACAGCTTCGAAATCATTGAACAGCATTTCCTTTTTCATGATGGCCGTTCGCAGAACGGAGGGAAGCGCAAATCCAAAGTGTTCAAATTGCTGGCCCTCAAACATTATTTCAAAGATATCTGCGAATGCCACAAGAACACGGTTAAGATATAAACGGTTTCAAGTGTTGGCACCTAATGTAATACCTCTGGTTAAATTGACAGTAAAACGCATTTCATATTCAATCAGTATCTTGTCACCCACTAAAGCACGCCACGTTGGAAGGCCATCCTGAGTTGATGTCTTGACTAAAACTGAAAAATAATAATAAGAAAAAACAAATCGACAACAGAATTCCCTTCCGTTTCCTTATGGTCTATTATTTAATGTATTATTGAACATTTTCCTCTTTTTTTGTTTTTATAAAATTCACATAATTTCGTTTATTACTTTCTAAATACTTCTTTCAAAAAGTTCCAAAAATTGCCTTAATTCGTTTGCTATTACATCTTAGCTGTATTTGGAAATAACTTTCCTACAAAAAACAAACGAATTATGGGAAATGACCACACCGAAAATATGCTACTGCAGGATATAAACTTAAATCCCAGAAAAGAAAATATTAGAATTGATGCGAGGTATGTTGGAGGCAGTAACAAGAGCTGGTAGTATATAAGGCCTATCAATATATTTCGACCTGTTCTATTTTAGATGGAGATATTTTTCGGAATAGCTTCGCTTATTGAATATTGCGATATATTGGATACAATTGATGCATTCATGAAGGCAGACAATTTAGTAAATGAACTAAGAATTAGTGACCGCTGACTGTATACGTCGGTAGTCAAGAGGTGATTAGGCAATCAAAGATCGATCGATATTCCAATAATGAAAATATTGGATGAACCCGAAATTTCTTCCTCAGTACTCCACTCCTTCAAAATAGACTGGAACACTGCCTTTTTTACTTAAGACGCCGACCTCGTATCATGTCCACCATTTTATAACTGTATGCTTTATGCTATGGTATTTTGCGGTTTCCAGGCCGACCCCATAATAATAAGCCTTGTTACATTTTAGATTGGTTTATTTCACAAATATTGTTTCTGCGTCCCTTCCACCCTGCGAGCTATTCGGCAATCGATGATTTGCTTGGGGTTTGATGAACATTAAAGTTATTTACATTTGAGATTTTTATCGTTTGCTTTGGTTTGCTGATTGTTAGTCATCCCTATTAGTGGGTACGCCTCACTGAAAACCAATAAATTCCATTAAATACTTCTTCAATCACGGTAAGAGTTTCCTCCATTTTCATCATCTGTTTTGTTTCATTATTCCTTATTCTACACTTGGTCCTCTTTGTTTCGGACATTACAATAAAGTGTCTTTATTATGCCGAGAAAGAGAAACAAAAATAACCATCTCCCCAGAGAAGAAACTCAAAAGACACTTAAAATCAACTAAAGTTTTAGTGAATTAAATTTACAATAGCGTAGCACAGTGCGAAACGCAGATAAGTTCACTGAGTCGACCCTTGCCCACCCCATTGATGAGATTGTAATTGCACAATTCAATATCGCTGTATGGTCATCCAAAATAATATTTATTTGTATTTGAGGGTGACTATGTGATGGCAAATTCTTTAATGAAAATCGATTGGAAATTGGAAAATGAGGGTGATTAGACAGATCTTTAGTAGAAAAAGTTGAAAGGTCGAGAAATATTTAATCTAAGATATAAATGAATGAGTAGTGTACGGATATAAGACTAATTCGCAATGGTAAATTCGTGATTTCAGATGGTAACTAAATGCATATCAATTCATTTTCTATACAAATGTTGATGTTGCTGATTCTTACTAGTTTTCTATTAACATACTTTTGCATTTATTTGTACCCTGAGACCGATGGTAAACGTTTTAATAATCAGCGGTTAAGTGGTTATAAAATAAAGCCCTTTAACTCTTAATAGAATATACTTACGTTCGCATTGTTTTATACAAAATTTATCTCTTTCGGTTGGTTTTACTTTTCCCGATTTCATTAATTTTAAAAATTCCACCGCCTTTAAAAATTGGCCATCGGCAACTGGTTTGCGGCCCATTAACCACTGTAGCAATGTTGCTATCACTGTAAATTTAGTTATTTTGCGAATGAAACCGGTTGGAACGGTTTGACTAAATGTCTCAGTGACACTAGCGACAGGTGCGCTCGATTCATCCACAGATTTGCCCTTTTTCAATTTTATAGTCTCCAAAGCATCTGATATGTAGGTCACTGAAATTAAAATTGACGGGGTATTGTCTCAAATGAAAGGCGTGCCTCGGAGGTACTTACGTGTCTCACGTTTACAAATCTGTATTTTAAGAATGTTCTTTCGCATTAAACCATTTACTAAGTATGTGGCCTCGGAACAGTACTTTTCAAATAAATTATTTTCGTAAATGTGCATTTTATTCACCAGCTCAAAGTAGGACTTAAAAGCACTACGCTTTAGGTAGCTATTCTTTAGGTTGGGTTCATTCTCCATCTGAAATGAAATTCAAAGTGTTTTTGGCTCATATAATTCTGACGACGAGGTCAAATATAAGAAAAATACTCTGCCTGCTCCGATCAATTATCTCAATTATATGTATATTTGTACCTCTGGCTAAATACGAGTATATAAGGAAGATTACGAAGATAATTGCAAAACATACATATATACATCAGTCGATTACGCTGTTTTTCCGTCATTGTTTCGTTAGATCCACCTACACATACGACCATTACCACCTCCCTCCAGCGAACACCAGAGTTTTATTTTAACACACAAATTGCATCAAAACGCAGAATTGTTTGTTTATTGAAAAAGCGAAAAATTGTAATAAATGCATAAAATTGAGGATGTTGTTGTGAAAGGCTCAGTAAATAACGCCGTTGTTGTTGTAGCTGTTGTCGTCATTGTTTGGCACTCACGCCTGTGATAGGACTGGGCCATGTCGCTGATTTTTAGTCAGTCAGCTAGCCAGCCAGTCAGTCAACCAGCAGTCATTGGTGGTCGTGCCATTTGACCATTCAGAAATGTTCCATGCCACCGCGAGAATGAACCAAACAATGAAATCATTCATGTGCGATTGAAAGCGGCGAACGGGATTCACTGCACAGGGAGGTGATATTGGCACTGAGCTGAGTGCGGTGTTGGCCAGATTACTTACCCGTTTAAATGCCAATACGGATATTTTCAGTTTGGCGCTCAATAATCGCGTCCATTGTATGGCGCCGATTTTCGCTGGCTGATGTTTACCAATTGGCGGGGCTTTTTTATGATTCTAAAAAAGAGAGGAATGTAAAACAATAACAAATCAAGGTTATGCCTGGGTGAGAGTGTGTTAGTTTGTTCTGTTTGTATGCAAATTGTATATTGCACAACATGAAATATTGTTTTTAAATGTAATAAAATCGATACAATGGACATTTGTAGGGTACGTAGAAATTGTTTTTATGATATAATAATTTGTAAGAGAAACCAAACAAAAAACACAATTAAATGAAACATTTTTTAAAGTGAAAATATTAAAACGTCAAAATTGTATATTTAGTATACAGTATACAATACCGATACGGCTCTGTTTTAATTGTCTTTACTAAACTTTCAACTATTTGTGATGAGAAGTGCAATGGACATTCGAATGGAACATCTAGTTGCAAAATAAACTATTTCGGAGTACTTACCATAAATTCACATTCGACTGTATTTATTTCCGTAACAAAAAATCTCAAAAGGTTTTCGTGTTTCGTGGATAGGAAGTCCGTTAGAACCTTTCTAGTGTCCAAAAATTTAACATCGCGTATTAGTTCCAAACCTAGATCGGACGATCTCAACATTGTTATACTCTTTTCAATCACTTGCTTCGCTTCCGATTCCACAGCATCTAAGCGTTTGTAGAACGTACTAAGGGTGTGCTCCCAATTTTCCCAATTTCCGGGTCGAAAAATATCGTAATCCACACTAGATAACATATCATCGAGTAAACGGTAGACTTTGCGCATTAATCCTTCGACCAGTGTTGGGTCGGTAATTATGCACTTCAAACGGTTTCCAAAGAGGTTTTCATATTGAATGAACACACGCCCCACTGAAGCAATGTCTCGGCTAATTCGAGTTATGTGATCAACATCGTTAAATAGAGCATTGCGATCGAATTCCCATCGCGAGCCGGCTCCGGAATCTTCAATATACTTTCGACTCATTAGGTAGGCCGTTTTCCAACATTTCAATAAATTTGCACAATTGGTCGCTGTTTCGTATGTGTATCGGGATGAATACCTTCAAAAGATAAGCACAAATGTTAATTAATTGAAAAAATAAGCTAATCGATTCAAACACCATCATAATTTTTTTGGTGAAACATGGTTAGGAACAAGCGAAGTTGTTTGCTATAAGCCATAGCCATTATGTGCAATAAAAAATAAAGACTGAACCCTTAATGCGTTTTAGAGAACTACAATGCAAAAACACAACAGATATAATTTACTAATGGGTCGATTATGGAAGGCAACCAAACTTCAGTTGCGAGTTCAACTGGCAACGCAATTGATAAAACTTAACATTATGGATATCAACTTTTCTCAGTTGCTGTCGATAATACTGTTTTGATATTTCTAAAACTAGAAATATTGTAAACAAACAAAAAATTAATAAAATATTTCAGAAAAACAAATTATATGTGATGATAAGCTTGGTGGAACTAATTTTTGATGATGAAAATTATGTTCAAGGTGTGTCATTTATTAGAAGGCATTTAAGAGAGAGTAGATGCTGACGTTTAGAGAAATGTTCAATCAACAGCTCATATTAGCTTGAAGGCTTATTTTCGACTACCAAAAGATGCCGTTGTGTACATAGATGAAGCCTTAAACCCTGATTTCCGAAATGTCTGGCGGTCAACATCAATGTTGTAGCAATGACTTCAACCTTGGCATGGCTCGCCGAAGTTATCCGGCTAATAAAGGAAAAGCTGTATAAAATTTTGATTGTATCCAAATTAACGGAGGAGAAAAAAGAGAAGAATAAAATTTTTTTATTCGAAAACTAAGTTCCAGGGTGTTGTCGGATGTATTGATGATACACACGTACATATCATGGTCCCACCACTGTCTGTAATTCATTTGGAATGCGTGTTGGTTGGCCATAGCCATGGTGAGCTTCCATCCGGGCAATAAGGACCTCAAATTGTTCTTTTGTAGTAATATTAACAATTATGGGAAGCCTACAAAGTTCAGTTATTATAAACAGCAACCAGAAATAAATGGTTGCCGAAAAATTATATTTGAAGCAACTGAAGTTGACTACAGTTGCCATCCATAATGCAAATTTGGCAACTGGCAACGCAACTAAACTCTGGTTGCCATCCGTAATCGACCCATAAGATTTTTCGTTTACGATTTTGTTTTTTTTAAAAAAAGTGACATTTGCCCTCTATACAAATATTGCCGTTTAAAAATGTATGATAACGTTTGTCTCCAATTTTGTCTTAACTCTTTGTGGCCCAATGTTGTCCACGGACAAAAAATATGCTAGAGTTTATATTTAACCCTCTGTTCCCGATTTTTTCGTAATCATAGAACAATTTTCACTTCACAGATTTAATGCAACTATCCTAAATAGGATATGGACAACATTTGAGATCGCTACATCCTTGACTCGGGAGATACAGTATGTCCTTTCTGAAAAATAAAAGTCCAATATCAGGAAAACCAAATGCTAAATCGACGGAAAAAAATCATTTGAAATTATTCTCTATATTCTTTTTTTACAAAAATCAAAAATAATTATAATGAAAGAATTCGGAAGACTATAGTTTCGGATCACGCCACTGATCACCATAAGTTTCTTTAGTTTTTGTTGGGATATTCTCCCCAGAAGCTATTTATTGCTTCTATACAAAAAACCGTTCATACCCAAATGTCTCTTGTAACCTGCCTTAAAAAAACCGGGATTCAGCCTGACTACCCCAGAAGCTATTGCTTCTATACAAAAAATTTGGGTATGAAAGGTTTTTTGTATAGAAGCAATAGCTTCTGGGGAGAATATCCCAACAAAAAAACTAAGGGAACTGATGAGGATCAGTGGCGTGATCCAAAACTATAGTCTTCCTTGCCTTACCCCTCGGCAAACAATGCCATACATTCCCCACTAATAAATAGTTGTTTTTTATAAAAACAAAAAACTGGGATTCAGCCTAACAGTTGATAAATTCCTACATTATTTTTAATTTTTGACATTATCTAAATCCAACATAGAACATCAACGGCGTTGTCAGTGTTTTTATAATATTAGTGCGTTTTACAAATTTGTTCTCGATCTTATAGACTAAATGTTTATCTTATTCGTTCATGCACTAAATTTAGTGCCATTTAGTAATATGTGGCCCACTTTTATATATGTGTATCAGTATATGTGTAGACTGTTGTTATGTTGTAAAGTTTTACAGCAACAATGCATAGAAATATCTGTCGAAATCAATTTGCCATCGTTTCACAAATATGTAAATAACTACTTACCGAAATATTTTCTCAAAACACACTATATTTTTGACCTTCTCCGTAAAGACATTCGAAATCTGGCACAAGAGAGTCTGCATTTTATCGTCGTGACAGTAATAACTTGACATGGTCCATATGTGACGCAAACCCACCATAACATTGGGTATCAGCAATGTCGTCATTCTGAAACTTTCGTAAGTGCGTATTTTCTGTGGAATATGAAATGCAGGTATCAGTTACTTTAGAAGAACGCCAGTACGGTTTGCGAGTTGTGTTTTGAATTACCTCCAAGTAATCGGTTATTGTACCAATATAGTCAGCATTTTCTTTGGCCAAGCGAAATTTCTCAGCAACATTGTTGACAGTCTCTGCCCAACGGCCAAGAACACTTGAGTTGTTATCTCTAAGAACATCTAAGTACAGAAAGACAAAAAATGTATTTATATGTATATGTATGTGTGTTCAACTTACCCAATACGGCTACAACAAATTCTGATTTTAATTGTTCCAATATGCCATTAAATTCTATTTCACGAAAATGCCACAGGCGATATTCGGCCATTGGAGTGAATTCGTCCAAGGGCTTGACATAGATAAGAATTAAAGTTTGAAAAATCCTTTGGGTGTTTTGGTTTTTTATGTTTGCATTATTTTGGGTACACTACCTTTTCCTTTAGAGCTTTTATTCGTTTTTCAATGTAACGCATCCACCCCTCGACCACATCCTCCAGTTGGTCTTGGGTGTAGGTGGGAATAAGGTTAATCCTTTTAGGATCAATGGGAATGCGCACCTTCGACTCTTCGAATTCGACATCTTCCTGGCCAGGGGCTGTGTATGATGTGGGCAAATTGAATGCCCATACAATATGGTTGACGGTCCATTCCACTTCCTGTTCGAAATCCTTTAATTGATTGAGCAAGGCCTCTTGATGAGGTGGCAATTTCTCTTTGACATTTTCAGTTTCACGGCGACGGCATTCTATTTTATCGTGGGTTTCCTTCAACAATCTCTCCCATCTTTCGCCAATGGTAAGTTTGACATCCGGCTGTTCCACTGATTCGATTAAAGGGCGTTAAGGACAAGTGGGCGAAAATCAGATGGACACCGAAAAGAGAAATGTTTAATGCCAATTATGGTTTTAGTCAATTCCAAATTTCCTCTGTTTCCGTTTTATTGACGCAATCTAATTTTCAGAATTTTTTGCCTATCAAGGTGTGTTGCTTTGTTTACGTGTGTGTGTGCGTCTGTGTTTCTTTTTCTTCTCGTTTGGCCTTTTCGTCTCTATCTTATTTCAGTTGACCACAAACTGTTTGTTTTTACTTGAGATAATTAGATTTCCGTTTTCTACTGATGTTTTTTATGTGTACAAATTTGAACGATTGTGGTATGTTAAGGTAAAGGATGAGTATGGAATGTTATAAGTATTCGACCGATTTGAAATCGGAGATGATCAAACTAATATCACATCGATATACATATCACCAATTTATATACATATGCATTCCACCATGGCTATGTTTCAACGGCGTTTTCAGATTCTGATACTATTTTTTTTCTTAATACTTTTTGGATATTTTATTTAATATTTTAGGTAAAATATTTACTCAACATTTGACGTTACATAACGTGTTACATGCTCCACTCACCCACATCTTCTTCAGACGAAGTTATAGACATTTTGTCTTTTTGCTGTTCATCTGATAACATATCGTCATCTTCCTCTTCATCGCCGTCGTTTTTCTTTTGACTAGATAATTGACCTTCGTCTTTAGTTTGAGGTCCGCCAAGCGATTCCTCGCCTTCATAGTCGGCTTTCTTAAGCGTTTTCTTCTTGGCTTCCTGTGCTCGTATTTCAGCTAATTTCTCCATTTTCCTTTTTTGTTGGCAACATTCGGAAGCGTTTGTTGGTGGTAGTGACGATGGAACAGTCGTTGTAGTTGTTTGCGTTGAAAACAATTTTCATGAAACAATCCAATAATAATTATTGTTAAATCAGTAAAGAAAAGGGTTTATTTGTTGACAGACAGGCGAGCGAAAGAATGGTTCCGCCAGGGCAATGTTGGCGAATATTTTCGGCATAGCCATAAAAAAGGTCAGTCCGTTTTCAGCATGTCTGTCTTTGATGTTCAGAGGGAACCGGGCGAAATCATTGGGTTATAAATAAATACTGGCAAATGCAATATTACGGGTCTTAGAAGCAAAAAGAAACATTACAAAAAATAAAACAAAATAAAAACTGCGGACAAAACAAATTAACACAAAAGTAATAAAAGCTCCCGCTGATAAGCGAAATGAAAAATACCAAAAATACGAGATATATTTCATGTACCCTCATACACACGTACAAACGCAAAACCAAAGTAAGAAAAGGGTTGCAGTTTGAGAATAACGAAAACGAAACATATCCAGTGTGAACCAGGATTGTTGGGAATGTCATTGAAATTGCTTATAATTCTAAATGAGTTTGAGTGTCAGAAAAGGATGGAGCCAATTTGCCATTACGCACAAAAAAGTTAGACACAACATAATATTTATGTTTATGCTTAACGCCAAAGACCAACTGGCATAGTCGGTGATACATATTCAGATTTTTATATTATGCCAATATTAGAAAAATATTAAAATGTCTTACACCGATTCCTTTCAAATCAAAATCTCACATATTGTTTGTATTAAATTGTTCTTACAAAGTCATGAATTACTGAAGATATATTTATAATATATATATATATATATATATATATACATCCAAATCTTTATTTTGATTCATTGATATTTGTCGGACATGGGATTCAACCAAAGTGCCTCTATTGTTGCCGTCTACGTCGATGATGAGTTGATGTGCATGTTGCAACAAACAATATTCGTGGCTCGTTGGCGCGTTCATTCGTAAATACATTCACTTTTTCGTTTGTTTGTTTGTTTGTATCACATCAGGACGAGCATAACAACTTAAATTTCACAAAGAAATTGTTGTGTTTGAAAAAAAAATAACGCCAAAGAGCCAGAAAATACCAGGAAACTGAGGGGAAACACAAAAAACGAACTTAATTGCAAAAGAGTAGCAAAAAATCCGATTAAAAATGTTGAAGACCAGAAAAAAGGGGCGAAAAGAATATTCAAAAAAAATTGGCATAGCCGAATAGCAACTTTCTCTGTTATCAGATGGTTTATTGTAATTTATACATCATACGTAACAAACCGAACAAAGAACATGGTATTTGTATGAAACAAAGGCTGGCGTTTGGTTTGGTGCATCGAAGTGACCAGCAATAAAAGTGAGTGAAAATGTAAACATGGGACTTTTCATCACGATACTGTGTGCATACATATATAAACGTAACGAAGGGCAAATACTTACATAATGTTTATGTCAAGAAATTGTTCTTACCGTGATGCTTGCAACATCGTTTGTGCTTTTTAGAAGTATGGTATTTTACATTGTACAAAAGCCATGCTAAATTTCTCTAAAATTGTCTGAATTAGTATACTAATCGAAATTTTGATTCTAATGCCAAATTTCAAATTTGCACTTACATTCGCTTCATCAATAATAATAAACACGAATTTCATATATACATACATTGAAAATCATGTGAAGGCTTGATGATGTCTTAATAAGTATTTTGCTGGGTAGGCAAGCACTTGTTTTTACATAAAACCAACAATAAAAATTGATAAACAATGTTCAGTAACGGACAAAGAGGTGGGTGGATGAAGCCAAAAATGTTTGCGAACAAAACAAAAACAAGACACTACCAAAAAATGCGTACAAAAAAGCGAAAAATAAATATGGCCGTTTAGTATCTTTATCATTGTAAGCAGACTTCCTGAGGGTTGAACATTTCGCTTACCGATCATTTCACAACAAAATTGATGCTTTACATACCTCTTCTGTTTAAGAGCTTTTAAACGAAATTCCGATGGTTTGGCCAGTTCTAATAGGCCGGGTGCTGTATCCTTTACTTCGGTCGTTTCTGTACCAACCTCACCGGGTGTTTGAGATTCGTAATTTTCCATGTGTTTGCCTTCAATTAATTTTGGTTCGCGAAATTGAAATTCAATTGCCTTTTTAAATATCTGTGGAAATCGAGGCAAATGGATGCGATAAATGTTTTCTTTAATTATGATAACAATATTTTAAATCATAATATTTGCAGAGAAATCATTCACAGCGTTACAACGGTTTTCCAGATGTCAATGTACTGAGTTGAGCCTATAGTTTCTTTTTATTTATCTATTTTGATATTATTATCCTGTGCTATGATGAACAAATGAATGATAGTAACATGCTTTCCAACAGCTGTCGCAGTTGTCATTTGTAAGGGCTTTAGACTACTTACTTTTATTCTACATGGTCCCTGTGGAACATCACTTAAATCTGTTCTCAAGGGCCCGATACTCAGGCGGCATTTTGATAGATGGTTAATAATGTTCATGCTTTCATGCCACTTTATCATTGGTACGTAGTAGGAAATTAATTACAGAATTTTTTCATTGCTTTAGTAAAGTGCTGCCCACAAAGGATCAGCTCAATTGCTAACGTCAATTTCATAAAACAGCTACAGAAGCTAAACCATTTGAGCGACATTTTTGGGTTAAAGAGAAGGGTGCAAAATAAACGGGGTGGTGATTAATTGAAATTGTCATGAAAGTTACTGGTTAAATTTCTTCTAGTATCTAGCTGGATAAATCAGCCCAATCCGTTAATTTTAAATTTTTCCCAAAGTCAGAAAACATTTTTTTGTATGAATTGTCTAAAAAGTATATTTTAAGCATTTTAAGTGAAAATGCGTGATATTTTGCAGAATCTTACTGGATGTTGTCTGTTTATATTATTGCAAAACAGAATAAAAACGGCTTAGTCTCTAATATAGAACATACGTAGTAAATGTTACTGAAAACACAACTAATATTATTTTGTGTATTTATTAAAAAGTTATTTGCGTAATAATTAATATGCTTTAATTAAAAATAAATCACGTAGCTTACCATATCAACATCTTGGCTCATAGACTTTATTAGTTCACCTCTTACAGTTCCAAAGATAAAATACTGAGACATTTCGGCAAAACATTCGTTGATATCTGAGTAGAAAGCTGAAAAAAGCGAACAAAAAATAAATAAAAATAACAAGCAAAAATTCCTTAATTCGGTGGAACCTTTAAATGGGACGGTATTTTTGCTTTGAAAACAATTTTTCCAAAGTACCGACACTTAGGTTGGAATACGGGGTAGGAACTTCAACATACCGAAAATTAAACTTTACATTTGTATGGGGGATATTTGAAATATTAACAAAAACCAGTAAGCGAGGCAATATAGTCGGACGGGTCCGGCTATATGATAAAGTTTCTGTGGATCTATGTTCCGAACCAGGGTAATATTTCACGACATTTGCATTCTCTTGACGGATTAGAGGTCAACAGCTGCTCTGCGGGATGTGTTCCGAATCATGTTTTCCGGGAGTAAAAAAATCAGCTATTCAAATTGGTGATCAGATTGCCTTCCACGTTTGTGAGTTTGGTTTGTAATTGTGGTGACTATAGCGACTATACATAAAGCCAAAAATAAAGTTGTCGGTCCATTTCATCTCCGACATATCCTCTGATAATTATCGAGACCATAAGCGGAATCGCATGTAAAATTTCCTAGCCATAAGCTCGAAATGTATGCCCTCTAATGTGGTATTGGTAATACTAACAAAATTCAAATACTTAGACATCTGTAATTATCTTAGTAGAACTCCCACATTCGAGTACATACAACCACTTCTCTTACTCGAACTTAACAACTTCTCGGGAGTAAGGTAAGGAAAATATATAATCCATAGAAAATCTGAAAATCTGCTTCTCTTCATCATCTAAGAAATTTCTCCCTATCAATAATATGGCTTTCTATGAGCTATGAATATAATGCAGGTATAAGAATAATCACAAATTAAAAACGCATTTCATTTGTTAAATTAAATGTATCCACGCTCTTAAAGAGAATGACAATAATGAAATATCCATTCCACTACATTTTCACACTTATTGATAACGTGTCAAAAATCGCATACTTAAATAAACAGAAAAAATCATGTTCTGTACTTACCTATTCCGTTAACTTCTTTGCGTATCATATACACATATTTGATATTGTTGTCGAAATGTGTACAGCTCAGCTCCCCAAAGTGGCAATGCAATATTGGGGTCTTTACAAACGTTGGAATGATTTTCTGTAACGAAACCAGGAGAAATCAGTATTGAATTTGTAAAAAAAAACCTGCAAATAAAAATAAATATTTCATACACTTGCGACGGTAGGAGTGCCGCATCGCGAAGCACGAAAGAGAATTACTTCACATGCGAGGGCAGGCAGATGTGAGTCTCTCTGATTTTCAATACCTGTAAATCAGCGAATACAATATGAACTCGGTCCCACCATATCGTATATCATTTGCAATGGTGGCGCTTATTGTATTTTTGTTATTGTGTATTGGCATCCTTCGTTTGTAGCTGTGTTAGGGGCAATAACATTTACGCGTATGTATGTGTGTAGTCGTGTAGAATATTCATTGCAATCATTTTTTACACACCTTTGAGATTTAAATGTTTCTCCGCTAAGCCGGTTTTTCGAGAGGAGTGCATAAATTGGCTTCGATATGTCCGTGTGTGTGTGTGCCTCCGATATTAGATATTAGTTTATGTATGCATATGTTTAAGTGAGTGTATAAGAGGGTTTCGCACGTGTGTACGTGAATGTTTTGATTCCCAACAGTGGTGTTTTATTTACATCGCCAAACACAAATATCTCGACATGAATGTCATAATGAATTGATTTGGGATGTAAATTCCCTTTTGTGAAACAAACAAACAGGCAATGAGATGTAGAAAACAACAAATACATATGTATATGCTCGCATATGTGAATGTTCTTTTGATTAAAATGCTCAATACAGTAGATACATCCCTCTTCATTATGCTCTGGCATCTAATTCATTCCGGTTGGTGTTACATAATAAGATGCAACATAATTAATTTAGATTTTATGATATAGAGAAATAAGGTCTAAAAACAAAAAAAGGCACTATCCTTAAAACAGACAAAGTGTCCTTTCTATAGATGGTTTATTTTTTTTTTTACGAATTTCCCTAGGAAGCATTGTTGTTCTATCGAGAATGATGTTCCAGATCTAATAAGTAAAAGCAATTATTCGACGAAGCTCAACCGCAGTTTCAACACACTTTTATACTTCTAATATACATATGTATATGATGTCTAAGCACAACAACACACACAAGCAAACATTCAGATTTATTTTATGATGATTATATCTTTGTTTATATGTCGTATATTAGATCGCTTCTACCTTTAATGATGGGCAACGGAATTATAGAATAAATATTTACACTGAGACTTGTGGCAGTGTCTGTATGACAGGGTATCCGCAGCTGTAGTGTCCCGTAAAATAAAATGACGTGTACTGTTGCTTACCTTAACTTCCACATAGACCGGAACAGGAGCCTGTATTGTCTTGCGTTTCTTTTTACGTCCTTTGCCTTTGCCACTCTTCCTGGACCCTAGAAATACATGTACCCACATACAACAATTACAATTCACACAGATACTATGGCTGTGTGTGTATGAAGACATTATGATGTGAATAAAAAATCCGTAGAATTGTGCTACCAAATGAAGAAGGAATGAACGAATAAATGCACGTAAAAAAGAAGAAGGCAAGAATGAACTAATTTGGTGTGTCAACATTATTTACATTGAAATAACTTGTAAAATGTTGTTGGCAATGATTACGGAAAGTATTACAGCCGAATTAAGACATAAGTTGGTGGGATTGTAAAAGGACAAATGATCTGGAGTTCTACCATCAAGGATGGCATGATGGTTGTTTGTCAAGCATCTTCCAATATAGGTATTTATATGCAGTGTAATATTATTTTGAATACAACATTTTACAATTGTATTAACTGTAGGTTATGCTAGTATAATAATAGAGTATAATAATACTCTAATTACAATCGAAACTAATAAAAACACGTTGTGTTTCCAATTACCAATTAAGTAATTGGCTGATTGCTGAATGATGAATTCATCAGCGTTGTGTAAGTGGTAAAATATTATCACTCCTATACGGCCAATTGCGACTGCAACAAACTACACAGTGCAAATTCTAGTCCATTCCAAGAGAATTACTACATTTGAAGATTATGTAAATATATTGGAATGTTGTTTGTTTTTTTTGTTCGTTGTTAGTTGAATACATTATTGCTCTTTGTTGGCAGCCTTTAAATGAAAAGTAATTTATATTGAAATTAAAAGATTCTCTGACATCTTTGCTCTTCCTTAAGAAAGTCGCCAAGAAGAAAATAAACCAAAACGAATAAAATAATCTGGAAACGGGGTTATTGCTTCTCGATAACTTTTGCAACACAGGGATGTGAAAGGGTGTTTTTTTACCCTACACCACGCTGTGGCACAGGGTATTATGTTTCTGTGCATATGTTTGTAGCATACAAAAAGGAAACAAGATAGTCACATAATTATTTTTGATGCTTGCGATGAAATTTGGCACAGCAACGTAGGGTGGGGCCCAGTGTAGTAGAGGAAAACATAGGTTCAGATTTTTGTGAAGAAAGTCTCGCGATGTCTTGCAAATTTAAAAATGGTGCCAAAAGTCTGTCGGCTGACATGAACTTGAGCATATACTGCAAAATGTCAAGTGTATGGATTGAAGACTGTTCATATATAGAAGGGTGCACCAAAGACGATACATCTGCCCCATATGTATGTACCTTTTGCGAATACCCAAAGTGAGGTAGTGTATAATATAGTCGACCACGTCCTACTTTGGCCTTTTTTACTCCTTTTTGCTTTTATTCTATTCAAATATTGTGCGCAATAGCTGTTGATGTGTGTAGCAGTGTGGAAAAAAAGTTCCACTTCGAATCAATCCACCATTTATTTTTTATATGACCGAGTGACTCCAAAGATTAGCCTGTTCTGTTCATATTGCTTGACAATGAGCAAACCAGTTCATTTCTTAACTGCATCAATGACATTTTCGGAAGTACTGGGATTAATGGATACTTCCGAAAACCTGCCTTCTTTACCGATTGTGTACAAAGAGAAAACCACCTAAAGATAGGCGGGCCGCATTCGCATTCCCTTAAATCCTTGATGCATAACTGTACCTCATTCTCGAAGTAAACCATCCCTGCCGACGGCTTGTCATTTCACATGGGCTTCCGCTAGCCCGAATGGGTTAAAGCGTAAATTTGTAATTTGGATAAAAGAAACCATTTCTATCCTTTTTGCATTAATGAGGTTTTTAAATATTAATGAATGACGAGAACTGAAGAAGAAAAGAAGAAAAATTATATGAAATGAAAAACTTTCACAATTAAAAGAAATCATACAAAGCTGAAAGATGGCAGTAGTAGCGCCAGTAACAGAAAGTCTCTGTGAAAAAAGCAACGTTACGTGTTACATACATAAATCATTTCTTATCCTTTGCGAGCGAAAACAAACTAAAACACTTCCAAACAATGGCAGCAAAAGATATTCGCAGAAATGCCTCCTCAAGTGTAAACAAAAAATGATTGTAATGGAAAAAAAGATGGCAAATGATAACACAGTGACAATTTCAATTAAAACATAAAACAAATAAATTTAGATTTTTAAGACGTTGAGGGATAACTCCAGTAGAGATAATAGAAACATATCTATGTTATAATTACCAATTTCATCGTCATCGTCGCTGGCTGCATGTTAAGTGGGAGAATGTGGTTTTAATTGGGATTTTATCAAACGAGTTTATATGTATTACTCACCCGATAAGGCAGAACTCTTTACACTTTCCGCTCCAATGTCATCGCCTGCACTGTCAGCCCCCGTATCAATACCAGCATCGAAATCATCACCACCTCCCTTTTCTCGTCCAGAATCCTTGGCTGTTTTGAGGCCTATTACAATATTTAAAATGTGGTGAAATATTCTTTGATTTAATTCAATAATGTTGATCTATTTTACTTCGGACTCATTATGATATTTTAAAATAGATAGAAAATAGTAACCTTTATAGATAATAGTTACCTTTGTTCGGTGTGGACGCCTTTGCATCTTTTCCAGCTGTCTGCCCTTTCTTTCCTTTTTTGCCCTTTTTATCTTTCTTCTCAGGTTCAGTAGGTAATTCTGGTTCCACTGTAAGACACAACCAAATATGACATAATTTGTAATATTCAATTTGAATTAAATTAACCTATTTACTACCGACATGTAATATCGTTTTCTCATTTGTTATTGTCGTTTTGTATTGATGAGTGATGGCGTTAAGTCCAATTCATCACATGTTGCTGGCTTAATATCATGTAAAGGTTCTAAGTCTACTTTTTATTTTGACGATGTTGGACACGTTTTTTTAAGCCGAATTAACTGTAATTTGGTATTTTAGGTGCTAATGGGGTAATACACCTTCATACAAAAAATATAAATATTGGTCCAGTTTTTAAGGTACCCCAAAATATAACATTATCCCAAATATTCAGAAATTTTGATGGTTTGGGGGCGAAATGGATGTAATTTTATCTTTGGGACTCTCACTGGGTACAAAATCTTTGAACAAAAAAATAGTTTCGAAGTAGCCCCCATATAACGTTACACACATTATTCGGTATTTTGTGAATTTTTGTTCGTTTTCCTCTTGGCAGTAATTTACCAGTCAAATACTTGAAATCGATCGGTATTTATATATAGGTGTTAATATAAAAGCCCCAATCGATGTTTAATAAAATACCCTTACAATACAAAAACAAATTACATTTACAGATTTAAAAAAAAAAATATTTATAAAAAATAATTGTTTTTTGTCTTTTCTGGAAAATTGTGAAATGTGGACTTGTTGCCCTTAACATATTAAGCCAGCTATATGTCTATAACAAAAGTGAATAAATACTCAAATAAATGACATTTACCACGTTTGGTTCGATTCACATGAGGTATTCGACACATTTAACTTGTTTTATTTTCAAAAATGTTTATACCGCTATCAATATTAGAAATATTTCCATAGATATCTGTTGAATCTTAAACGTGCCTGTAAACCTCGACATTGGTATTGGAGTATAGCCCAAATGCTTTAACTTGATAGGATCAATTACTGGGAGCATTTCAATATCCGATAAGAACATTCGACGAATACATACATCGGAAGAGTTGATTCATGTAAATCTAAAAGGAATTCTTTCACCAAGTGGAACATATTTTCATTTGGAATATTTAAGATTCCATATTTAAAGAATCCTGCCAAAAAATGTAAACAATTGGCCCAGTATAATATAATTACCATTTTTTAGGTTCTTTCATGTGAAGGCAAAGTGCTCAACTAAAAAAATGAATATGCAGGAACTAAAGAAGTGGATGCAGTAAATCGTGTTGATTGTAGTTTCGCTCAATGGAAATGTTCCTCTATTTGAGAGGAGTCCCACGGAAATAGCAAGTGTTTTGTCACCCCGGTGCCGGAAGTGGCAATAGTAAAGGAAAGACCAGCAACAGAAAAGTACAATCCTAACTCCAGCGACTGAAAGCTAAACAAAGAGGATGTTGAAATGTTTCTGCTGTGTTGTGCTTCCAACGTTACACCGTCAAATTTCCACTTCGCCTACATCAAGTTGCCACATGCTATCCGCATTTTGGCATAGGGAGCATTCTTGCCTCGTATGCAAATCAAAAATGCTTGCATAAACTTAGTTTCCCTCTTTGTTTGTATTTTCTATTTATCCGTTCGTATGATGGAAGACACAACAAAAGACAAACGTGAAACAAAACAAGCAAATCCTTCACAACCACAACCACTTCATCAGGAGTATCACTTGGAAACCGAAACTGCGACAGGGAGTGTGACTGGAGAATTCAAAAGACAAAGTAAAACATGATGCTGTCCTGGGCTGCTTCTAAGCTACGGCATCAATGTCAACTCAACGCCAGTTGGAGAAGTCTCGAAAAAGTTTCTATGCCATCGTATTTCACTTTGCAGTTAATCCACCAGTTCGTGTGGGTGGACACAAGCCTGTTGTCAGGCTTCTCAAAACGCACTGCCTGTTTACGCACCCACATTCCCATCCGCCTTTGTTCTCGGTCCAGCATTCGTCAGAACGGTAGCGTTGAAGGCTAGAGCTTAGCGCTTGGTTTTATCTTTTCGTTGAAGTGCTTAAACTATACAAAAGGATTTGTGTCCCGAATTATAGCCGAGTAGTGAATGTGTGGGAAACTTTTCTATGTGCATGTTTATGAGGTATTATCTAAATTAAATTTGACCATAGAATAGTTTTTGTTAGCCGACAATGGAAAAGAAAAACGTCATATTATATTTCGTGAAATCATAGAAATATGCGAAGTACCCAAATACAATTGTCCATCATGTAAATTCATGTAACAGAGGCTTTCGCATGTAATTTAAGTCCGCCAATGTACATTCTGTAAGGAAAAATTGTGCCAATTGTGGCAAATTATTTTTCTAAATTATCAGTCCGCGACATCTTATACTTTTATTTTCAAATTTCCATGTCAATCGTTTTTTTTATTAAGAATTGATGCAGATACAAATCTATATATATATATATATAACAGAAAAAATCTGTTTGTATGTTCCCGTTAGCGCAAAAACCGCTGAACAGATTTACAGTATATAATGATATGCCTTCGATAGTAGTCGTACGTCAAAAAATGCACTCCTTATTGCATTGAAATCAATAATATAAAAAATTTATAGAACCACTGAACAGATTTTACTAAGATGTACACAGTACGTCAATCGATCCCATGGAAGTAACATAGGTTAGATACAGTTCTAAAAATCGGCGCGGAAGCGGAGTAATAGCATCAAAAGTAATCATAACTCTGAAATAATTTATGCATGTAAGTATATTTTCTAGGGGTATATCATAAGATGGGTTACATGTAAGGAATTTAAAATTTGATTCAGTAACATGGATGCAAATACGCATCATCCGATGAGGATATATTTTGAAATACATAAAATACAAACATGTGTATATTAAAATAAAAAAATATTAGGCCAGTACCTAAATTCATTGCTCTGCGTAGTAAAATACACACCTTCTCACCTTTATAGAGTTTGTTGAACGTCCGTGAAATATGTGAACACATTTTGATAATTTTTTTATTTCTGTTTCGAGATTTTGTTTAGTTTGCTAAGATATATGGATTCGACGTATATGGGTAATACGCCCGTACAAAACATTTTGCCATAGTGGGTAAGTTGAATATAATTGAATTTTTGTCAATATGTGAAGAACATTTTTTCTTTGATTTAAAGAAATGAAACATCAATACACCTATATGCTATTCAAATTTAACGTGGGTCCAGCTAGTACAATATATATTAATTAACAGAATTGTATTGTCTGGTAGATGTGGATAGAATAAAAATTGTATTCATTGCTGAAAAATCGGAGCCTACGAATCGTTGTTGTGGATTAAAACAATAAGTGTCTATAGATTGAAGAGCTGTACTATTTTTAGATTTTCAATTAAAATTGACAACAACTTCATGGCCAGCTAGACCAGTTTGTCCATACATTAAGAGAACTTTAAATAAACGTTTCATTAATGATTCTTTACAATATGTAACAAATCAATGATTTGATATTCTAGAGGATTTGTTGTCATTGAAATGTAAACACTTTCGGGCTTTATCGAAAATAATTACTCTGAATTCTTTGTAAAAATAACAACGAAATCGATTCGATTCGCATCCATATCTTCCAGCACAAGTGGTTTCAATTCAGCAGCAGTAATAACAATTCTCCATTGTCGAGCTGAAGTGACGAACACAATCGAAATGAACGAATCGCATCATATCGATTCCGAAAAGAAGAAATCGAGTGCACCATCACTAAATAATTCAATATTTACTTATAAATTCAATTAAAGTTTCTTTGGCACTCAGTTGGCAAAACAGAAAACCTTCTTATCTGTGCTTCAGCTGAAGTGCCATCCCCATCGTTCGGATGGGCACCTGCCTGTGTGTTCGTGTAATGGTCTGTGGACAAACTTACCCTCCTCCAGAACGGTGATCTCCTCCTCAACTAGCTTGTCATAGAAGGTGCGCCACATATACAAAACGACTTTATTGATATCCTCGTTTTTGGTGTATTTGTCCTCCAGGAAACTCTTGAAATCATTCATATTATCATAGATAACGGCATTGACAAATTCTGGTTCGAATACACCCAACACATTCGAGATGGTGCACTTGAGCCATAAAATACGATTATCGTCCATGATGCCGGCCATGGTGGTCGCAGTCTACAACGTGAGAGATGTCGGTTGTTAATATTCAGTTCGGGCATTTTTGTCACAGAAAGGGTGAAAATAAAAACTCCCCCCAATAAAAGTAATCTACATACACACAAATATACATTGGAAGACGTATTTTTGCAATGAAACGTGTAATTTCACGGAGGGTGATATACACGTTTTTCTAAGAATTTAGAAATGAACAGTTTAAATTTGCAATATTATTTTTCTTTACAATTACATATACTCCACAACCCTTTACCTACCGTTTTTGAAATTCCGCCCGCCGAATATTTCCAAACTGTTTGCAATTCTTGGAATATTTGTTTGCAATTTCAACGATGTTGTTCTTTGTTTGTTTTTAATTCAGAATTGTGGTGTTTTTCCTCAAAATTCAAATGTTCTTTTTCAATTTCAGTTTCGATTTGATTAGAAAGTCATAGGTTGGTACGGTTGCCACAAACGACCACACACACACACATTGCCTCAATTGTTGCCGTGACATTATTGTCGTTGGTGCTACTGTTTATTTTCGGTTGCCACAGTAAGTGCCGCATATGTGCGGGTATTATAGAATCGTTCTCCCAGCTGAGACAGAGTTTGTCGAATTGCTCAGAAAGTACATAACCAGAACGTTTTTGTTTACGCTCGTTCGGAGCACAAAACGAGCAGGGCAAATATCAATATGCATGTTGAAAAAAATAAACGCAAAAGCAAAACCAAACGAAACGAAAGAGTATTTGTAGCGTTGGTTACAAACTACACAACACTATTGCAGGACGATGACGATCAATCTATTTTGTACGCCGTCCAGCATAGCATTTGTGATTGCAATTCCTCATATTATCTGGAGGAAGTATAGCCACATGGTTCCTTGGGCAAGAATGAAAGACACAGCTGACGGAGTGCGAAAACCCATTTGCAGCATATAACCGGATGCCGATTAGTAAAAATTCTCACTTTATAAGTGGATACATATACTTGCGTTAATTTTTCTATAAATTGTAAATTGTAAACAAAGTACAGGACGCATTTATGATCCGAATTGGATGAAATTTGACACAGCTCATTTGTTTGGCCCAAGTCCGATTTTAAGTAAATGGTACACCAAAGGGGCACAGCATACTGAGTTGAGTCTAGAATGATGTGTGCTAAGTTTTGTGAAAATCGGTTCAGATTTAGGTATAGCTCCCATATATGTATATATATATTCTTCGATTTTATGTAAATTGCGCCCTAAAGACCTAAAGCTTTTACGATTGACACACAATTTTGTATAATGTACTGAAATTAATATAAACTAATCTTTTGCATGATTCGTTGTAGTCGGTTCTGATTTTGACATAGCTTCCATATACGTTTTCGAAATTTTGCACAACGTATAAAATTATCAAATCAGATTAGAATGACGTTATTGCGTTTTATTGAAAATGGTGCAGATGCAGTCACAGCTTTCACATATATTTCAAACGGGTGCCTGACTAATATTAAATTTTGAAGTGTGCGGCCTACCGAATAGCGCGTATCAAGTATGCTGTAAATCGATTTACATAAGTCCCTTTGTACGCAAACGACTCTAAACTTGCCCGAATGAAATGAAATTTAGCTTAGGTTCCAGAAAGGTATAAATATCACATACGGAAGTTCGTTCAATTTCATGTCAATGTTCTTCCGAAAAGGCGGAGTCTGTTAGGAGATAAATGTAGAATATACCCAAAATGGTGAAGAGTATCATACTTTCCTTACTGGTTTAATTCAATGCTAAAAGTAAATATATCTTCACAGATTTCATATAGGTTTAGTAATAAGTCCATATATTAAATTAATTTTTATGACCCAAAAATAAAAATAAAATGAATGAATGAATACAATGTGAAAATTAAAATAGTCGAAATTTAGTAAAGCAAAGCAAGATTTTTATTCCGTAATATAATAAGGTCACAGAGGTCATATTAAGAGGGAGTAACATTTACCACCATCTCAATGTTAAAGGTAAATATAAAGTCCCCGGAGAATTACATTTAAACTATTATAATCGTTTAAAATCACTGGCAGCTGCGGTGAGCTGATCTGCTGAGAGGAGTATAAAAACAAATGTGAAATCAATTCGAGATGTTTCTCTTTTTCTTCTTAAATTATAGTTTACAAAAAAAAAGCTAATCAACATAGCAATTTGCTACATATAATCGTTAGATGGTAAGCAGGAGAATGCTAAAGGGGAACAAAAACACCAAACAGATGACACTGATAATATTGACGTAAAAAAGATGCGAAGTCTAATAGAATCGAGTGAACACTGGGTGAAACGAAGTCATGCAAAAATAAGAACGAAGGTGTACGAACGAACGGAAATAACAACTGTTGCCAAACAAAACAAAACAATTTCGGTAGCATATCACGACATAAGCTTTTCATGAATTGCAAAAAAGAGGAGAAGTTTTAAAAAAAGGAAGACCTACACCAACACCAATAATGGCAAATGTAGCAAAAAGTAAAAGTTCTTTGCCAAGATGCCTTATTCCTAGGTGTGGAACACAGTTTCGCATATAGTACATACATATGATCATAGAAGTGTATATGATGAGGTGGGAAATTACAAATTTGAATATTTAGGCGTAGTAATATAGGTAAATACATATAAAACAATATAAATAGGCATTTTTGTGTTAATTTGAAGATTAATATATTTACGCCAATTGCAATTAAACTGCTTTGTCTTTTTTACAAACAAATTCATACGTATGTCTGATTTATTCAACATCAAGTAAATGCCTTTGTGAAAAGATGTCGGCAAATAAAAAACAATGGAAACATTGAAACAAAGCAAAACAAATAAAACATTCCAGGTGTAAATTCTTACAGCAACAAATATGCCAGGCAACAGAAAAAACGATGATGAGAAATAAGAGAAAATAGCTCACTCATACACATAGCCAGTAGTTCTTTGTTTTGTTTCGGTTATCTGTATCGACATAATCATTCTTTAAAAGGAGGTATTCTTCCAAGTTTTCTTCACTAACATTGATGTTCTTGCCAGATTGTTTAGAGCGTTTACTTTTTTCTCTGTTCGTATACGAATAAAAGGCTTTTTGCCACTTTGTTACAGACAAAAACTAATCAATTTCAGTTTGAAGATTTAAATTTGCATTTGGGCATTTGTGAAGCTATATAAAATAGAACATAGAAAAGAACCATTTTGTATTTAATAAGTTTTGTTCAAGAATATGTGTTACAATGAATAAGTTGTAATTTCTTGCACAAAAGCGTTGGTTTATTTGAGCAAAATGTTGCCCGATCAGCATTAAATTCGAATGTATAGTCGTGATTCTGCAGTGACATAATCACTGCAGTCACTCTATAGTTTAAAATCTCACATGTACTGCAGTAAAAATTTATTAGAATGTTAATTCGATATCCAATTACAATTTTAAAATATCGAATTACATGCCAATTCGATCCAAAATCCATAAAGTATTGAAAACGGGCTCTTTAATTTAGTCCATCGGGGGTTAATGTTATATGGGGCGATACTTAAAAGTGGAACAATATTGAAAACTTCTAGTATGCTAATGTCCCTTATAGTCAGAACCCAAATATACAATTAACATTTTCAAATTCCAAAAAATCGTGGGTTGTATGTTATACATAAAAAAGGGTCCAGTTTTTATAATTTTTAGTTGGAAGATTTTCTACTTAATGGGAAACCATAATATCAAATTACAACTAACTCCGATAAAAAATATGACCAAAATACTAAAAATACCTAAAATCGGGATATGCCAATAAGTGGAAAAAGGCTGATACCAAATTATATCCAATTCGATTGAGAAACGTGACGAAAATATAGTTAGCCCTCGTACTTGATTTAACTCAAAATGAATATTTTTTATTTATGTATTACAATTATGAAATGCACAGTCTTTCCACCTAAGGGTGTATCCAACATTTAATGTTGAGGATACTGGACTACTAAAAATAAATATTACTGTAAAAATATAAGTAATAATAAAAAATATAAAAGAAAGGCATCAAACTCAAAATATACAAATAATAGAATAAAATAATACCCCCACAATATAGTTGTGTTATATATTTTCTTCGTGTTATTATAAATGTGTCGTAAAAATTTGATTGTAGTGAAAAGTTTTATAAATAACTCCTCAAAATTTATAAAATCAATAGAATCGGGACCGTTGTAGAAAACAACAATTCTTAATCGATTTGGGAATGCTTATTATTTTAGTAGTTGTTATGGATGTGTGTGTTTTTAATATTACAACCTATCCTTAGTCGACGGATACAATTTCATAAAATGCATTCCAATAGATGGGAGTGCGTATATTTTATTCAAATATCGGACGTGCAGAATGCGATTATTACACTTTTGCATTATATACGCATTTCATCAAGAGTTCCTGAACTAAAATCAAAAATAAACATAGTAAATAAATAAATATCTTTTTATACAATTTTAAATTTATCAAGATTGGAGAAAAATGCATTACATAACACCTGAAATTCTCTAGAAAAAAGACGAGGAAGAATTTTACTTAGCCTCATCGTTCCGCGTGAAACGAAAGTCATTCTATACATTAACAATTTGCAATAGTGTTTGCAACTCGACATTCATTTGACTTAAGTGTATGGACGTCTGAATGTGCAGCCAATGTTAAGGACTACCAGTAATAATAAGAAAACAATAGCAACGACAGCAGACGAACAAAGAGAGTTACATCAACATTGTTTTAATCATCAAGAACTACAACAACAGCCACAAAGTTAAACTGTTGTCAAAAATACAGTAACTTAGAATAGAAGGAAAGCCAAATGCTTTCCCCTTTCTCTGTCAGAGCAATTCAAAATTGCATAAACAAAAAGAACAAAAACAACAATGTTACCAAACAATGCAATCATTTGTTAAGCAATTTACCGTAAATTCGAGTAGATGGCACTACCACCGACATTTAAGCAAAGCAAATGATGTTAAAAACACAAAGCATC